CCCCAACCATAAAATTATTTTTGTTGCTACTTCATAACTGTAATTTTGCTACTGTTATGAATCGCCATCAGAAATATGTGTTTTCCGATGGTCTTAAGCGACCCCTGTGAAAGGGTCGTTTGACCCCCAAAGGAGTTGCAACCCACAGATTGAGAACCGCTATTCTAGGGACTATATTACATAAGTTACAGTTCGCCTTTATGCCTAGATGAAAGACAAATTAAAAGCCACATTGATTCCTATATATGTAAATTATGTATTCCTATTTAGATTGCATGATGAAATTCATTTGCTGCTTAGCCCATACATAAAGTTTCTTGAAATGCGTTTGGAACAATTGATGCTTACTTGTATAGTGTGAACGACTGCTCTGTGTGATAATCTCAGAAGCTTGAGGAATAGATTTCCTACCTTTTTCAGCGAGCATTTACTTCGCGTTTACATTCCCATTTGTAATGCCATCGGCTTTTGGTTTAAAATCCATCATCATTGAAAGGCGCATGGCTGATGAGTAAGGAATTAGATTCATAAAATTTGAGAACCAGAAAGAGGTCTTGTAGACAAACTTACTTCCACCTCTTTCATTTAATCATGAGCATGCTGAGGCCGGAGACATAAACTGACTTGGCCAAGTAGATGCAGAGAGCAAAAGTCATACCGGATCTGCATGACCATCCTCTACTATATCACTCTGCCATGCCACTGTACATTAGACTTGTCACTTTGGAATGTGCTCATTGATGTACAGAATCTAAGTAGAAATCCCACTTCTCTTGTGTTTAAAAAAATACAACTTGTAAGAGAGCAGTAGCCGATGATATGACAGGTCAGTGTTCCAAACCCAGTTTTAGCGAACTGAAAGTGTGTTCTTATTTCAAGCTTGGTGATGAGGACGTCGCCTTCTGGACGTCAGCTGCTCTTTGTTTCAGTGGAGCTGTTTGTGACCGGCCCTCCATTCACCAAAGTTTTTTCTAGTACTACCCTTCTGGATTAAAGTTTATTTATTTAACACAAGGTTTCTTTAATGCCGACACTAACCTAAGTATACTGCCGACAGAGGAATTGTGATAGAAAAAACACAGTTTGTTATCTTTTAGCCCATTGAGCCTTTAAGTAGTTGCTAACTGAATTAAAAGGAACATCGTTTATAAACAGTGGAGTCGGGGTTTAAAATATTTTCTTTGAGTCCGTTATAGTTTCACATGATGCTAAGAGCTAACATTTCCACTTTTATTACATCTTCAAAATCTTAGTGATAGATGTTAATTGGTACTAATGAATGTAATACTTCTAGGAAAACTCTTGCCCCATGTCATCTAACTTGTGGCTATTTTTAACATTTATCGAGCAGGTTAATCCTGTGGAGAAGAATTAAAGTTACAGGATATAAAGAAGCATTTTTGTACAGAGTTAAACTTTAGTAGAAATGTGATGTTCTATAAATTTGTTTTTGTGATTACCTTAATGCCTTAGGCCTTCAGACTTTCTCATATATCCCTTGAACATGTAGAAGTTAACATATACAGTTTTTCATCATATTCAAATAATGACCAAGAATGTAGTTTCTAACTTTATAAAAATTGCTATATAACAGTAAAATTATAACATCACATTAAAAAATGTATTCAATTGAATTAAGTACCAGAGGTATTTGATACCCACTATCACCCATTTAAAATAAATACATAGAAATTGCCCAGTAGGTGTGGTTCAGGGTTGAGCGTCGACCCATCCACTAAAAAAAATACATGGATATAGAATTATTTTTAAAATATTCTTGGACAATAAGCTTCTGGATTCAACAATACAATTCTTTGTATAAACATAATCCAACTATAATGATTAAATTGTAATTTTGATAAAGGATTATTAAACAAAAATTTATTGAAATGCATTGCTTAATAAAGTGGAAGGAGGCTGGACACTGACTTCCTTATAGCTGTTGTACCTAGTGAAAAGTCCTCTTGTATCTTTGTATACATCCTCATTTGATGACCACTGGTGCCTTATATGAAAGGCTGCACCTTGCCCTGACCAGTCTGGCTCAGCAGTTAGAGCGTCGGCCTGTGGACCAGAGAGGCCCAGGTTCAGTTCCCGAAAAGGGCACGTACCTCCGTTGCAGTTTGTTCCCGGCCCTGGTTGGGGTTGTGTGGGTGGCAGCCACTCCAGTCTCTCATATTGATGTTTTTTTCTCTCCCTCCCTCTCTCCCTCCTGCTCTATCTGAAGATAAATGCAAAAATGTCCTCAGGTGAGGATTAAAAAAAGAAAAGAAAGACTGCACCTTGGACAGGAGATGATTACAATTACCCAATTTTGTGACTAACAGCAGACACTCAAGAGGCAGCCCAGGTGGGCTGAAATTCCAGCTCTGAGTCCCAGCTCTTCTTTTTACTAATTGCATGACTTTGGGGAATCTGCTGAACTCCACTATTCCTCTATATTCTTTCCCGTAAAATGAGGATAACAGTTGGCCTTTGCATGGATGAAATGAATAATACTTCTAACATGCTTAGGATAGCGTCCGACAAATGCTGGTTAGCTGTCCAGTCGATTCTAGATAATCTTTTAAATTTTCAGAATTTTATAGGTAAATCCTAAAAGTGTCTGAACATTTCTCAGGCAGAGTTAAATAATTTGAGCATTATCTATTACTACTTACCTCTATCCTGGTCGATTAGATAATTTCCTACATTTCATATAAGAAAGTAGTAAAATTTCTCCATGTATATGCGTAAACATATTTATGGGCATAGGTATATCTGTTTAAGCCTACGAATACTTAATATCTGCCTACGACAGGAAAGCAAATTCTATTTAGGTTCAAATACTTATTGAACACCACTGTAAGTGACAGTTATATCTGACAAGAGAAAAATCTACTCTAAAACTTGCCCTTACAAAGGCTTACAAGAGGTATGAAGATTAATGAACCAATTTTGAAAATCTGAATTAAAAAAAAAATAACAATCATCTTTCTGATTTGAAAAGAAGTAGAAAATCCTGAGTAACCTATACAAGGAAGTGACATAGGCAACAGGAAAAGTGGGCTGTGGAGGAGAAATAATAGGCATTTATCTCCAATTTGTAGATCAGTTAATAATGTAGCATAAAGGTGAAGTCAAGCTATAGACATTAGAATTGAGGTTATGAATTTTTTTTTTTAAGAATTGCTATAAAAATTCAATACAAGGTAGTCATCTGACTTCACTACTAGGAATTTCTGCTACCACTCTCTGAACTGAATACTGTTATATTGTTAGGAAACGTAAAAGATATAATTGCCCCAGTGTATTTCTTTAATGTATTCTGATTTACAGAATCAGTAGTTTACCATTAAGTGTTTTTCAAAATATATCTTCTTATTTATATTCATGTGTATCTCCTTTTCCCTAGTACTCATATATTGAGTAGGAAAAAACTGGAAAATTGAGCACTTTGACATGAACATTGGTATTTTTATGAGACTGGGGAGTGAGGAGACAGGACAGTTTCTCTTGTGTGTTATATCAGGTATTTCTGCCTTTGCAGTTCTATACTGTTTAATTCAGCAATTATCTGGAGAGTTTAAACCCCCCATCAAAGTTATATAACGTTTAAAAAGTTTAAGTTAATTAGGAATAATTTTGTTGTGAAGATTATTATACCTTTTGAAATAATTAGTATCATGCATCACCATATCTGAAAACCAAGGGGAATCATTGTTAAGTTTGTGTAAAAACAGTGCTTAAATAAGGTAGATCTTCTATTGTGTCCTATATAAAATAAGAACCTTCTTAAAATATCACTCACTTTGGTGGATCTGGAAAAATCAATACTACAAAATTTGATTTTAGCATACATGGTTCTTAACAGTCCCCCAGTTTTGCTTACATATATATATATATATATATATATATATATATATATATATATATGATAGTAGAATGTGGAATGGATTTTAACAACAAGATTCTGATTCTGATGTTGGCGCTCATGATAAACTTTGAACTGTCTTCCTGGTGTTTAAAGAAAAATGTCTACCAGTCTGAAATGAACTTTTAGAAAAGAAGTGGGTATATTTTTCTACTGGTGTGTTGGGGAAGGGGTTTCTCAGTATATACTGTTCTCTAATATATTCTTTCTGCCCTTATTTTTTCTCTCACAAGCCCTTTCCAGGACCACAAGAATTTCTCCCATGTAGGGATCCCCTAGCCCTTTCTTTCAGTACATAGAACTTTTCATTCTTCTTTTACAAAACTGTGTGTAGGCCTTTAGGAATTCTAAATGCATTAGGCTACAGTATTTCACTTCTGTGAAGGGCTATTTTTGGTACATGATATTCTCTAACCCAAACATTCTCTGAGGTCCAAGCCCCATGATTTTATAAATGCAAAAGGAAGTGACTTGGAATTTTTGAAAATAGTGTAGACTCTTTTAACGTGTGCTGTTTTATGAACTTCTCAAGTACAGGTGATTCAAACTAAGGCAACAGTGTTTCCTCCAAAAGTTTCTTAGAGAACCCTACAATGAATAGATGATTTGTTGTTAACTTAGTAAAGTTTGTATAAATGGGTTCCTCTGTCTGACAAATATGAAGTGTTCTCTAGGTAAATAAATACTGCACTTTCCTTCTTTTTTACACAATTATTTTGCTTAGCAATCCTTTATCAGCCTTCTTTGGGACTGTTATGAAGATAACTTAAGCTCTTTCTATTAATAAATGCTTTCCTACTCTGTTGCTTTTACGAAATGAACCAGTAATTTCCGATTCTTCTTAGGCCTTGGTATGCTCTGTCATAGTTATTAGTTAACATACATTTTAGCTATTTATTTAACAAACACAGCATATTGTTGTGGTTCTTACATGTCCCCCTATCACAAGATTATAAACTCCTTGAAGTCGGGCCATAGCTTGCTCAGCTCTTTATTTCCCATGTAACCAGCTTACCGCCTGGAGGATGAGTACCCAGTGAAATTCGTGATAAGCAGGAATTCAAAATAGTATTATTTTTTTCAACAGATTTGGTTCATTTGACTTGTGCGTCTTCTAAAACAGCAAGAGAAGATTTAGAACCAGTTGTAGAGAAATTGTTTACTCCACATACCGAAATGGAAATAGGTAAGAAAAATAATCACAAGCAGTAGTCATGATGGAAAGGTAACGTAACCACTTTACTCCTCTTAAATTTCTCATAAAGGTTTCTGCAATCTGAACTGAAATGTAAAGTATTCAGCAACACTGCTTACATGTTTTATTAGGATGGTCAAGCACCTTCTTTTCCGAAAAATGGGAAAATATTCACTCTATAACGGTAAAGGAAACATACATTTCACACACAAAATATATGATTAAGTGCAAAAAATGTACATTTATATGTGTACAAACTCACATGCATAGGAAAGACTGCCAGGAAATCTCAATTTTGGTGGGATTAGGGACAATTTTTTCTTTTACAGGTGTACAAAGAGTATATATTCCTTAATCAGAAAAAGTTGTCATCATTTACTAAAAAAAACAAAAACAAAAACATTGGCTCAACTGAGAGAAGATTAAAATATTAATTGACAAGTGTAGTAATACTTCCTAACTATTGTCTTTTAAATGCATAGCATGGCCCTGGCCAGTTTGGCTCGTGGTTAGAGCATCGGTCTGTGGACCAGAGAGACCCGAGTTCGGTTTCTGCTAAGGGCACGTACCTCGGTTGCAATTTGCCCCCGGCCCCAGTTGGGGTCCTGTGGGTGGCAACCACTCGATGTGTCTCTCTCACATCGATGTTTCTCTCTCTCTCTCCCTCCCTCTCTCCCTCCCGCTCTATCTGAAGATAAATACAAAGAAAAATGTCCTCGAGTGAGGGTTAAAAAAATAGATAAATAAATAAATGCACAGCATGTTAGTGATCTGATAAGTTTTGGTTCTCAAAATAGATATGCACCATGCTACTTATTCACGGTGGAAAAAATGCTTTTCAACCACTGATTTTTAACCTTATCTCCCACATCATAGGATAGATCTTATAGTTGTGAATGGAACAAATTGTAGAGTGTTTTGTGTGTAAGTGATCAAAAAACAGCCTGGTGGATCTTCATTTATATGAAGTAAGGGCACTTTTCATTGTAAGATTTGCATGTCCACTTGAATCATGGCCAGTTTCCTCATTGATTCATATATCTTCATTTTCTTTGGATGTTACATTTGTTCAGAAAACCAGTATTTATTCCTACATATTCTTTTCTTTTAGTTCCTCTCCTGTGTGTCTTATTTGTTTTCTTAATGCAGAGATAGTGGTTCTCAACCTCCCTAACCCTTTAATACAGTTCCTCATGTTGTGGTGACCACCAACCATAAAATTATTTTTGTTGCTACTTCATAAGTGTAATTTTGCTACTGTTATGTCTTAGGCGACCCCTGTGAAAGGGTCATTCGACCCTCAAAGGGGTCGCGACCCACAGCTTGAGAACCACTGGTGTAGATGGTCATTTCTATTTACATAAGAAAGCAAACTGCTCTGTTCTCTGGAGCTAATAACAACATAAATTAACTTCTTTTTGAGCTGCCTAAATAAAATCCTACAATCTAAAAAATTACTTTAGTTTGGAATTTAATTTGTTTATATTTGCATTTTCTTCATTGGAAAGGCTCATATAAATGTTTAGGTTATTGTTAAACATTTGATTGCAAAGTTCTGGTGCATGATAATATCCCTAAACCTAATCTGGCCAGGGCCTAATTTGGAATCATAGTTTTATTCTTGGTTTTAATTACTTTCTTTATGAAAGCTCTGAGTTCCTTCTTTATTCTGAAATTTTTAATAATTTTTGTTTATTTTTATTGTGTGGTAGTCTCACATAATACACTAAATTTGAATCTTGTAGCATTGTTCTTCAGATTTTAAATGCATTTAATTTCCTTTTTTGAAAAACTCAAGTGAGGGAAATTATATGTTCATTACTTAGCATCCTCTAGCCATTTTAGATTTTTAAACATTAATCTTAATGTTGAAAGCGATCCCATTTTGAAATGATGTATTGTGTAGGACCTGAGTGAAATTCTTTAGTAAGAACTATGTGCTCAGAGGGGTCCTCAGGTGCACCCAGGCACTGAAAAGCTAGTTTTCACTGACATATAGGCCTTTTTATCATCAGGATGAGGTAGTGGTCATATTTTAATTAAAATGTCAGAACAAATACTGTTGGAGTTATTGAAAATGAATCACCAGATAAAGTGAGCAGTGGGCCATGGCAGGTCAAAGAGGCAAAGTCACCTGGAGAAGAGAACTCAATTCATTTTCCTGCCTAAATGAGGAAGAAGGAACTTTATGAGCAATATGAACTTTTAATACATTAAAGCACGTTCCTCTCTGTAGCAAAAGCCCTGATTTGTATAGATTGATGGCTTTTATTATTATGTTTTGATTATTGGACAATGACATGAAACTTTATGTTTTAGAGCATTGTACATATTTTGTTGTAAAATGTGTGCCAAAGGAATAACTTTATTTGAGTTTCTTTTTTTCCTTTTCTTTGGGTTCTCTGTTCTGTGTGGTGCTGTGCTTCATAAGCCTTTGTGAAAGTCAGCCTATTCACTGGACAAGGAAGTTTATTTATTGTAAAAAATAATGTTCTCTTCTCAAATACAGTACTTCTTTCCCATTGTATCTGAGAAATTCAGCTGGGTTGTGAAGATTTTCCATCTATTCCCTCTTACTTTTTTGCATCTGAGGCGTCAGCCGGGGCTCTTGATATATGCTCTGTCTTAAGAAGCAATAATACTTCCAGGAGCCCTACCTCCCAGTGTTCTTTAAGAACATCAGAGATCTCTCAACCCTTCCCCACTGCTGATCGAAAGACATTTCAAATGTTTTATGCTTAATGAACCTGATTCTGCAGGTGAGAATAGTAGGTGATTGTTCACGATTCAGATAGGCATTGGTTCTTCCTTCAAAACACTGAGTATAACCGTCCTAAGTGGTTTTCTTATTTTACCCGGGAAACTGAGATTTTTTAAAAATATGAACTGACGCAAGAATTTCATTAATTCTGTATCTTGAAATGTCTACAATGTGGTATCATCACTGCATCACCATCTTTCTCTTTTTGCTTCCATTGTGCATGACATGCGGAGTTACCTCATTCCATCCCATTCGTTTCCTATCTCAAAAAAGCAGCGCTTCCTAAAAACAGAAATTCCCCTTATAGGTGTTATATTTTTTATTAAATATATTGGGGTGACATTGGTTAGTAAGATTATATAGGTTTCCAGTGTATATTTCTTTGATGCATGATTGACATATTGCATTGTGTGCCCACCATCCAAAGTTAGATCACCTTTTGTCACCATATATTAGGCCCCTTTCACCCTTTACTACCCCCCCACTCCCCTTCCCTCTGGTAACCACCATACTGTTGTCTGTGTCTATGAGTTTTTGTTTGTGTGTTTTTCTTCTCTGTTCATTTGTTGCTTTCAGTTTTATATCCCACATATCAGTGAAATCATGTGGTTCTTAACTTTTTCTGAGTGACTTGTTTCGCTTAGCATGATATTTACAAGGTCCATGCATGTTGTCGCAAATGGCATTAGTTCATCTTTGCTTATGGCTGAGTAGTATTCCATTGTGTATTTGTACCCCATCTTCTTTAGCCAATCCTCTATCGAAGGGATGCTATTTTGAAGTTGATGGCTGGTAAGGGTGGTAGTAATTGTTGGGCTGCCAAGTCAAATGCCTTATCTTAATTCCTTTTTGTATTTGTGGTGTCCAGACTAGATCGAGGCTGTGACAGTCTCCTATTCTTGGTCTTATGCTACTCTGCTTTGTTACTAAAATAGCAACTCTCTCCCTAAACACAGCATGCATCTATACACCATTTAATGCTTTTATTTGGTGTGCCATTGTTATTTCATCTGCCTACCTTACTTTGTACTTACCCCAGTTTAATTGGCCCAAGTGCTTATTCTAAATTACCTATTACTGTTTAGTCCTTCACACTATCTAATTGAATAAAATGAGCTGTTACAGATAACCAATTCTGCTTTTGGCCAATTGATATATTCCTAGTCAAACCTCCACAACATGGATATATATATATATTTCTTTGACAATTGTGTGCTTCACCACTGCGTGTTATTTTTCCAGCTGTCTCGCTGCCTTCCAGCTGACCTCAAAGAAAGATGAAGCAATTGTATGTCTCTTTGAGGGTTTCAAGGTCAAAGCCTGATAAAGCCCTTGTATCTGGAGCATTTATCTTCAGCCTGTGTCAACTTTCTATCTTCCTCATGGTCTCTTTGCAAAGCTTCAACCTCTATGAAATTTCTTTCCTATAACTTATTGGATTATTCATTTTCCCCAGCTTTTATTTAGTGAAAGCCCTCCTATGACCTGGACCTTTCATGAAATACAAGCTCTTTGTGTATGCCCAGAAACAGACTGGGCAATATTAAAGGACTTCTAGACCTTAGCCCACTTTTCTGCAGTGCTCCTGGAGTCTGATGGTAGAACTCCTAGGCGGTATGTTTAATTATCTTCCTGTAAGATTTAATGAAACTAAACTCACCAATAAATGTACTGAACCATATGGTTTCCGTTGTGGAATATGAGTTTCTTATGTCCCTTTATTTTGTTGATAAATAGGTTTTGCCACCTATTGTGTGCTTACCTGAAGTTAGTGATGCCTTAGACTCATAGATCTTAGTATTAGAAAGGGGTATATTGCCAGGCCAGTGTGTCTCAGTGGATTGAGCATTGTCCCATGTACCGAGAGGTCCCGGTTCAATTCCTGGTCAGGGCATATGCCCGGGGTTGCGGGGTTAATGTTTCTCTTTCATCCGTGTTTCTGTATCTCTCCCCCTCTCCCTTTCTCTCTATCTTAAAAAAATCAATAAAAATATATTTTCAAAAAAAAGAAAGGAGTGTCTTAAGGGATCACTTTTTCCATTCAGAGTTTCTTCATCCTAGCACACTAATAATTTTCAGGATGAACTAGAAAAATAGCATATGTGGTATTCTTTTATATTTTAAATTAAATACCATAAAATACAATTCATTCTGAATTGGAGAATCGGGAAGTCTTGTTAATTGAATACTGTAACTAGCTGAGAATTTTTTAATAGTGATCGCCAATTTAACAACAAGAGTTAATCAGCTAGATAATTATACCTTTAGCATTTCCTTTATGTTTCATAAGGTGCCTTGTAGTCTTGGGTAAGCTTCATACACATTCATTATTATCATTATGTAGAATTTGAATTTTTGTTCAGATTCAGACTAAAGAAAATGATGTAGTCAGTAAATGTTTTAACAGTAATGTTTTTGTTCTCAAAGAAGGAAAATTTAATTATAACATTTCTAAGGAAGAGAGACAAATAATTAGTAAGATAGCAAGGAATAGATGTTAGGTATTGAGGTAAATAAGGTTGGGCCTTTTTTTAAAAATATGTTTTTATTCTCATAGATACAGAGAACATTTTGTTGGTTGCCAGTTGGGAAGGGGGTTGGGGGAATGGGTGAAAAAGGTGAAGGGATTAAGAAGCACAAATTCATTGCTAGACTGACAAACCTCAAAGGGAAAGGGGTTGGGGGGGTGGGAAGAAATAAACCAAAGAACTTATATGCATAACCAATGGACACAGACAATAGTGTGGGAAAAGGTGGGAGGGGGGCGGGAGTGGGGAGGAGGGGGTCAATGGGGGAAAAATGTGGAACATCTGTAATACATTTTACATCCAACAATAAAGATGTGAAAAAAAAAGATAAAGAAAAAGAAAGAAAGATAGCTGTCTACCATCCAGTCCAGAAGCAGTAGCAGTGTTCAGCTCGGCTATGACTCGTGCATACCTCAAAGCCAAATATTAAGTTCATTTAGGTAACATTCATAAGTGTTATCAAGCTCATCATAGTAAAAGTAATATTAAATCAACATCTGTGACATCTTAAAAAAATAAAAATATGTTTTTATTGATTTTTTAGAGAGGAAGGGAAAGAGAGATGGAAACATCGATGTGAGAGAGAACATCTATTGGCTGCCTCCTGCACACCCCCTACTGGGGATCGAGCCCACATCCCCGGAATGTGCCCTGACAAGGAACCGAACCGGCGACCTCTCAGTCCATGGGATGACACTCAATCCACTGAGCTACACAGGCAAAGGTTGAGCCTTTTAATAAGTACATCATACTTTGATTGTACCTGAAAACAGGATTAAAATCACTTCAGAAATTATTCATTGAGCATCTGTTGTATGCTAGACCCTCTATGAGGGAACATAAAACAGAAGATTAAGGACTAAGTCTGTTTCATCTGTGTGTTCCCAGCTCCTAGCCCAGTCTCTAACACACATAATATAGATGCTTGCTGTTAAACGAGAATGTGTGCTAAAACAGTTTGCAGTCTCCAGCCTTATTTCTGTTGTTTGTGTGTTGGTTCCCACTAATTTTGTAATGCAGGAGGACAAAGTGTTAGTGAGTTAGAATATCAAAGTTTTAATCCTGTATATGCTGTTTTTAATGACAGCTTTATTGAGGTACAATTCACATACCATATAATTCACCCATTTAAAGTGTAAAATTTAGTGTATTTTAACATATTCACACAATTTGTTCAAACATCACCACAGTCGATTTTACTGTGTTTCCATCACCCCACAAAGAAACCCATACCCATTAGCAGTCATCCCCCACTTACCCATTCCCCACAGCCCTAGGTAACCACTAATCTACTTTCTGTCTCTATAGATTTGTCTATTCTGGACATCTCATAATTCTGTTATACTATTGAATTACTATATAATTTTTCAGGGTGATTTGTCCACGCGATACATAAGAAAAGCAATTTATGTTATCTTCTTCAGAGGCATAATCTAAGGATGAATGTAATCATAAGCCCTTTGATGCTGATGAGGAGAAATAATAAAAATCCAAAGGAACGCAGTTTGAAGTTAAATCTAAGTAACTTACTAATAATCAAATGAATGTTTAAAATCTAAGTTGTCTTAGGGTGAAAAGCCAATTGCTTGAAATATCATGCACATGTATTAGAGTATGTGGATGCAGATTTACTATTGTTTACATACAAAGCCCTGATTTATTAAAATATATAGTCATGGCTTTGTTAGTAATTGAGTACATATTGTAGTAATTGACAGGCATATTATGCTTTAGATGTAAGTAAAATTTATGTCTACATTTAGAAAATGAAGTTGAAAAGCCAAGACTTCTATGGGCTCTTTACTTCAATATGAGAGATTCTTCAGACGTCAGCAGGAACTCTTATCATGATTTACCATCCAACGTTTACATCTGCTCTGGCCCAGACTGTGGTTTAGGAAATGATAATGCCGTCAAACAGGTAAGGCTGTTGAGATTTTTACATCTCGTGGTAAGAAGTTGGTGTGGTAGGGAAAGTGAATGCTTTTTCCTCAGGGAGGTGGGAAAACAGACTGGAAAAGTATCTTGTTTAATACCATCTCTGCAATTTGTCCTTAGACTTTTTTCTATGAACAACTAAGCTACTTCAAATATATTTTGAATATAATATCAGCTATTTCCACATTCTTAAATATAATGATGACCTATAAGAGATCATTTATGAGTTCCACTGTGGGAATAAGAATACAAAATGCTACAGGCACATTCAGAAAAATGATTTTTTTTTTTTTATCTTCACCTGAGGACATTTTTGTTGTTGTTGTTGTTCAGATAGAGTGGGAGGGAGAGAGAGAAAGAGAAACATCGACGTGAAAGGGACACATCGAGTGGTTGCCACCTGCACAACCCAACCGGGAACAAACTGCAACCGAGGTACGTGCCCTTAGCGGGAACCGAACCCAGGTCTCTCTGGACTGCAGGCCGACGCTCTAACCGCTGAGCCATACTGGCCAGGGCCAGAAAAATGAATTTATAATATCAGTATTTGAAAGAAACATTCTATTTCATTTAAACTGTTGGTTTATCAGTGTATTATTTTGAAATGCACAGTTTTTTTTTTCCTCTGTTAACATGAGTCATTTAAAAAGGAGCGTACCTAGTAAGGCATACAACATTCAATTTTAAAATGGTCTTAAGGAATTTTCTTACCTTGGAAAAGAATATGTAACTTAGAGTTTTTCCCAGTTGGTGATTCCTTTAATGTTTTGACACAAACCTGTGTCCCCAGAGCTGCTATTCTAGTTGCTGAGTGGTACGTTAAATCAAGGTGGAACTTTGGGACAGTACTCCTGGGTGGGTCTGTGCAGGGGTCCAGGGCAGGCTCACACTAACTGTCAAAGGTAAACTCTGATTCCATGATGCTGAAGATTCATATGCATCGACAATTATACTTCTCTGCACTTGACAGAAAGTGAAGAGGAGAAAATATTTTTTTATTTAAAATTTTTTTTTCTTTATTGATTATAGACAGAGAGAAAGGGAGAGGGAGAGAGAGAAAGAAACCTCAATGAGAGAGAACATCAATCAACCACCTCTTGCATGCCCCCCCCCCCACCGGGATTTGGCCCACAACCTGGGCTTGTGCCCTGACCAGGAATCAAACCAATAACCTCTTGGTGCATGGGTCGATGCTCAACCACTGAACCACACTGCGCGGAGGAAAATGTCATTTATTTATTTATTTTTTATTTATTTTTTTTTTTCTTTATCAATTTTAGAGAGAAAGGAAGGGAAAGAGAGAGAGAGATAGAAATATTGATGAGAGAGAACATCGATCAGCCGCCTCCTGCATGCCCCCCACTGGGGATCTGGCCCACAACCTAGGCATGTGCCCTGACTTGGTGCATCAGTCAATGCTCAACCACTGAGCCACACCCGCTGGGTGAAAATATCATTTTTTAAAGCACAAGTCTAAACTTTTGAAAGACATAGTTGGCATATCTGTCAATTGAACCAATAAATGGATACTTTAGCATTGTTCTAAGACCACAGAAGCAAGTTTCTTTCCCACTAGTGACAAGGATCTTATAGGAGCAAATGGCCTCATTGAATCTTTCATTTTCATTCATAGCGGCAAGGCCATGACCCACACATTTACAGTTTTCTGCCAGAGCCTTTGTTTCTCATCTTCAGAGGCTAATGGTGATCCTGGATAATCATATTCAGCCAGTGATTACAAAAGCAGGAAGTCACAACTCTCATCCATCATTCATTCTATTAGTTTAATAGGAATCCTAAATAGTTCAAGATCTCCATTTATGGCTTAAAATGACCAAGTCATTTTTGCTTTGATGTTTCAATTTTTTCCAAGCAGAAATTGCCAACAAGTTTTCAGCCAGGTAGCTTAGGTCATTTTTATTCCTGAGTGAACTTGAATGTTTTTTAACCAAAATGGAAGGCCTTTTTAAGTAAGGGCTTATTTTACAAGTGCTAATGTGATCTAAACTGCAAGCTAGAAGATTATAATTAAAGGATAATTTTATTATAAAGTGATTTGCTTCCCAAGAAGATAGTTTTCAGTAGTATATTATCCTAGTAGAAAGTAGTAATAATACCAGTTTGGGTAGTAATTATTACATGCTATTAAATATAAGTAGTCTTAAATTTGTTATATAGCTTTCAACTTCTCATCAGTTTGGGGATAAAATACTGTAACACCTACTTTAAAGGGCATCAGTGATAATATTTACAAATAGCCGGTTTCTTCAGATAAACAGTGTTTTAATTTAAGTATATCATACTCTGTTCATTCCTTTTACTAATTGATGACTTCTCTTTTCTAAATTGTCTATAAAAGCTCTCAGATTATCACCTAGGCTTTTCCTATGTAGAAAACGTAAGCACCTGCAGATTTCTTTTTTATAAATAAAATGCTTCATTTTATCAGTTAGCGTGTTTGCTTCTGTTTTCTTATTTGCAAACCTATAGATGTTGAAAAACATAGACCTACCTTCCTTGTGTTCATATAGAACTATTTATGATTTGAAGACAAAAATATTAAATGATCTCTAATTAATACTCACAAATTAAAGTCGGGTGCATGAGCACACCAAGACATTCTCTGTTATCACCACAATGATGCTAGCCTAAGTGATACTTGTGAATTTTTTCTATGACTTGCTTGTTTATATAGTTTATATTACTGAAGTTTTTTTTCTGAACTTGACATGATCTCTCTTTTCTTTTTTTGTTTTTGTTTTAAATTCTCACCCAAGGATATTTTTCCATTTATTTTCAGGTAGAGTAGGAAGGAGAGGGGAGACAGAGAAAGAGAGAGAGAAAGAGAGAGAGAGAGAGAGAGAGAGAGATGTGAGAGAGACACAGCAATCAGTTGCCTCCTGCACGACCCTGACCAGGGCCGGGAACCGAACCGCGACCGCAGTACTTGCCCTTGACCGGAATCGAACCCACGACTCTTTAGTCTGCAGGCTGACTCACCAACTACTGAGCCAAACTGGCCAGGGCTGATCTCTCTTTTCATAATACAGCTGTTGTCTTTTACCTACACAGACTGATGAACAGACTTCCAAGGCAGTGATAGTTCACTCCTCCTCATGAGCCTCCATCCACTAGTAGCTGTCACTACCATGGGAACAAGGATATTTAAATAGTACTGAACTCTTTATATTATACTTCAGCTATGAAATGAGTTAAATTGGCTAATGTGGGCTGGGCTGGCACCCTAACCACCATTTAGAACATTGTTTTTATGGATAGATTAGTAAGTCACTAACTTGCGCAAAGGTCACATAGCTGATAAGTTTTTGAGCCAAGATTTAACCTCAGATCTGTTGGACCCTGGTGCTTGTCCATTCATCTAGTGTGTGATGCTGCCTTTATCTTGTTAATGTGGACATATCCTAACTGCATTAAACTGCTGGATTGACAAAATATTTTTGTTTGGTGTAAATGTATGCTAAATAAGCATAAGCATATCTTAAATAACCCAGCTTGTCTTCATTGTACTTTGCAATATGAGGAAATCAAATCACAATTACCCCTTTTTAAAATTTATTTTTAACCACATGAAACGCTTACCCTTTAAGGTAACTTCTGGCTTGTAAAGGGGCATGATGATTAAAAGTTGACAATTAAGTACTCTGAACTGATAACTCTCACAACTGGGGCTTACTTGGCAAATGCAGTGCAGCAAATAAAGTAACATTAGAAAGACTTTCCAGAACATGGTAGTTGATCAGAAAAGTTTCCAGCAGTTAGAAAGAGCAGACACTTGGGAAAGGCTCGAGTCTGGTTGTAGAAAATTGGCATCAGTGAAGGCCAGTGGCAAGTGAGCTGAAGGCAGGAGTTCCACAGGCAGGTGGATCACAGGCAAGAGCAGTCTCAGGAAATCTTGTTTATGACAGGGGTATATGAAAACATCTAGTGGGATCCAGCCACAAGGACCAAGGTTCAGGGGAAAATCTATCTTCTAGGGAGGTGACGAAATGCAGACAAGGTGTGAGACACAGAAGAACCGGAGTAAAAGTAAAAGTAGTGGTAATAGTAGTTATTATATTTATATTCAACAGTTGTACAGTATACAGTTTTTAAAGGTCTTCCATTCATTAAAATATATATTGAGATTATCTTCCATGCCATGCATAAGGATTGAGACTTGATTGAAACCCACTCCTTTTCATCCCTGGACGAAGCACTGTTTAGTAGAGGAGAAAAATATGTCAGCAAATGGCAGTGTAGTGCAGTGTATGCAATAATAGATAACTATCCAAAGTACAGATGTAATCCAAAGGGGCCATGAGATCCACCTAGCAGTTAGAGAACGTTACAGAGAGGGACATAACAGATGAGTTGCAATTCCCCATCTAAATGGAAGACAGTAGAATTGAAACATTTCAAGTATTAAAGCCTCTGCCCCAGCCCGGATGCTAACAGAGTGGCCTGTTTAGGAAAGTACAGATAAACAAGTGTTAGTGAAGAAGTCTGAAGCGTGGAAATGGGTTGAAGTAGAAGATGATATGACCAGAGAACGTAGGCCTGAAGGGGTTTTGTATGCCATGGTAGGGATCGTGGATTTTTATCCTGTTGGAAATGGGGAGCCATTGAAGAGTTTTAAGCTCCGAAGTGGCATACACAGAATTTCATTTTCCATATACCCCTCTGAAGGCAGCATGGAGGCCAGGTTATGAGATGTTGATCTTTTCTCGGGGTAAGATGGTGCATGCCTGGGCTATGTCTGTAGGAAAGGAACAGAGGGAGTCAAAAACTAGGAGAAAAAAATCCACAGCATTTGGGCACTGATTGCCTACAGAAGGTGGAGGGGAGGGAGAACTTTTACAGACAGACAAGGTAGAGATAGAAGACACAAAGGCCAATGGGGGAACTCAAGTGTGAGGTAGAGGCTCTTGTCTGACCCAGTCCTCCTGCAAAGATGTATGGTGCGTTCCAGGGATGGGGAACAAAGCAGGTGTCTCGAATATTTCATTTGAAAATATCCATAGTAGCCCTGGCCGGTTTGGCTCAGCGGTTAGAGCATCGGCCCACGGACCAGAGAGTCCCGGGTTCGGTTCCCACTAAGGGCACATACCTCAGTTGCGGTTCATCCCCGGCCCCAATTGGGGTTGTGTGAGAGGCAACCACTCGATGTGTCTCTTTCACATCAATGTTTCTCTTCCTCTTCCTCCCTCTTTCCCTCCCACTGTATCTAAAGATAAATGCAAAAATGTCTTCAGTTGAAGATAAAAAAAATATCCATAGTAAAATGGCATGTACTAAAATATACCCTTAAACTCGACTCAAGAAAGAGAGAAGCTATTTTCTCTCCCTATCTATTCCTTCAACTCCACTTCAGAGGTCAAAAGCTTCTCATCATTACCCCTCCACCCACTCCCAAAGAATATCAGTTTTAATCACCTGATGTAGGAGTCTACTAACTACATGGCAGGGTGGTAAATAGATGATAGTTTGCAGTTGAGGTGGTCTCTATTGCAAGTGCTAAACTGCCAATGCAGTGTGAAAGCAGCCATAGACAATAGATAAAGGAATGAGAGTGGCTGTGTTCCAATAAAACTTTATTTGCAAAATCAGGCAGCAGGCTGGATTTGCCCTGGGGGCCATGCTTGTCCACTCCTGGCCTAATGGATGGCCTTCTGTGGACCTTGGGAAGGAGGGATGAGGTGGGACAGAAAGATATTATAGCCTTTACAACAAGCATATATCTTAAAACCCTTGAATGGCTTTCTTTTCCCTACAGGAGAGAGTGCAAGTTCCCTAGGTTGGCGGGGACTCTTATCTAACAATAAGCTGTATTCATCTAGATAGAAGTAAGAATATACTTGCCATGTTTACCTCCTTGTGTGTGTGTATTTGTTGTTGTCATTGATTATGGTCACATTTACTTTCTTGTTCTCCTATCCGCCAGACTAAACCTGGCCTAAATCTTAGCATTGTAAACTATATTATTATTAATAACAATGATAACAACTATTACATAAGAGACTTAGTCTCTGCTATTTTATTTATTTTAATATATTTTTATTAATTTTAGAGAGAGAGAACGGAAAGGGCGAGATAGAAACGCAGGCTGCCTCCTGCACGCCCCCTACTGGGGATCAAGCCCACAACCCAGGCATGTATCAGTAGTCATGCCCAGCTAGATCCATGATCTTAAACACTGTGCTATCCTCTGTAAAGCCCACAGGGAAGAAAATTATACCAGAAAAGGAAATAATTGAGCCAACAATGAACAATTTTCTTGATTTGAACAGTGACTTGTTAAAGTTATTATATGCTAAATTAAACTATACGGATATCCCTAATGGGCTCTATTCAGAAATTATATACAAAATATTAAGAGAGATTATATTTCAACTGACATGTGGAATGAATGTCCTTAAATTCTCAACTATCCAAACATTTGATAAAGAACCTGATCAAGTACCGGTACACCTGAAGGATGGACCTGAAAGCATACATAGAATTAGAGGGAGAAAAGTCATGGAATTCTGAAAGCAGATTTTAGAAGGTCATGTATTCTGGGTAAACGTCTATAACTTAAAAAGATTAAGTGTAATACTTTTTTTTTTTTTTTTTAAATGATGCCAGAAAGGCACAGACATTTTAAGCTGATGTCCAAAAATGATTGTGTCTTTGCTTCCCTGGCCAGGCTGAGAGCCTCTTCCAGCAAATCTGCCCCAATGAAGACTTCTGTCCACCCCCTCCAAATCCTGAAGACATTCTGGATGGAGACAGTTTACAACCAGGGGCTTCCGAATCTGGTGATATACCAGAGGCCAGTTCAGAGACTCCCAAGGAACATGCAAACCCGGAAAAGCCAGAGGAGCCCTCTGAATAACAGATACGCACCAAATTGTATGCCCCACTTTGGAAATTTCTCCTGGCCTGTCTTCTTGATCGACCAACTGTTTGAAAACTTTTATAAAGCAGCAGTCCGTTGTCATGCAGAATTACCGAGAGAAACAAGTCACAGAAATCCAAAAGGGGATTTTCCTTAAACAGGACATTCCAAGAACACAAAATACTTGTAAAGCACATTGACTCACCTGCTTAAATTAGAAATGAATTGATTCCCAGGAAGACAGTTTTGGAGATGAAAGTGATCCTAGGCATTGTCGATAATTCTGTGCTTTTGGGACAGCATTTGCTTTGCCACTTTGGATCTTTGTTTGAAAGCCACATCTTCAGACTCAGCTCACTTATTTCCTTTGATTATTTGAATTATATTTTCTTGAAGGGTCTGAGCATCATGATGCAGATAATAAAAGCGTATGTAAATGTGATTGAGAAAAACGAAAGTATCATGAACTGGCAGGAACCCATGTTTGGAACAGAAGTTTGTATTGTTTTCTTGAGAAGAATTAAAATGCTAATATTGAAGTAGATATTTTTTAGAGATTTTTTTTTTAATCCTCACCTGGGGATATGTTTTTATTGATTTTACAGAGAGAGGAAAGGAGAGAGAGACAGGGAAACATCAATTTGTTGCTTCCTGTATGTGCCCCAGATCAAACCCGCAACTCGGACATGTGCCCTGACCCGGAAATTGAACCCACAACCCTTTTGGTGTACAGGACAACACTCTAACCACCGGAGCCACCCAGCCGGTGCAGTAGATGTTTTTAACAAAGAAATCATGAGTCCGTTACTCAGTGTTTTTTAAATGTTAGTAGTGATTTTTATACATGAATCATTTATACACTAGGAAAGCTCAATACTGAACAAGTGGAAGGAAAGATCTGGATAGGTCTTTGGAAATTCTGTAAGTAACTGGAGCACTAGCCTAATTGTCTGTAGACCTAATTCAGTCCTGCTACACTACTGATGATGTTAGACAAACTGTTTGACTTCTGGGCCCCAGTGTCTCCATAGGTAAGGCAGAAATAGCAATACCCTGCCTATTCTATGGGCATGATTTTGAAGAGCAATGCAGTGCCATCTTTAGAATGTTTTTTTCTAGAGGAAACGTTTCGAAAATGTTCCCAGTGACTTGAAGGTGACTATCAAAATCTCATGCAGCCAACAGTTATTGCCAGCAAATAAATGTTTGCTGTCCACTTCCCCAAGACAATAGATCACAGTGTTTTTATTGCATTAAGCTTTAAAACGAAATCTCCATTTCCTGTATTAGTATTTTATAGCTTTATAGGCCAGTAAACATAGCAACATACGGAATTTTGGGTTTTGCATCTTAATAAGGAAAACACTTAACAAGGAAAATTCTTCATATTTCTGTCGTGGTACGTAAACCTGACACCACCAAGGGCTCTGAATAGAATACAACAATTGGTAAACCCTAGTATGCACTGAACATAAATGTTAAGGCTGTACATTGGGAGCAAATCTAGTTACAGGGACAGTGACTATTAACATTTTTTTTTCCCCCAAATGCCAGGCTCTGATGGTTTACTTTTTGGAGCAATAGTTTGGATTTAACAACTTATTTCAATATATAAATAAATACATGAGATGTTTATTGCTGTGCAGTTTGCCCTGGACTGCCGACCAGAGAGCCATGACTATAGGAGAAAGCACATAGTTCTTCCACACTTCAGCTGCAGGATCTCTGACCTCTCCAGATTCCAGGGAAGATCCTTTCTTTTTAAATATGTTCTTATTGATTTTTTTTTAGAGAGAGGAAGGGAGATCTAGAAACATCAATGTGAGAGAGAAACATGGATAGGCTGCCTCCTACACTCCCCATACTGGGGATGGAGCCTACAACTCGGGCATGTGCCCTGACGGGGAATCGAACCAGGACCTCTCAGTCCATGGGAGGACACTCAGTCCACTGAGCCACACCAGCCAAGTAATTTCAGGAAAGATCTTAAAGGAAGTTAGCTCTGTCAGGTCACAGACTCATAGGAAATGGAAGGAACCAAGGGATGTATCTGTTGCCTCACCTTTCCAACCTCCTGCAGATAGAGGGGAATCCAGATGCAAGGGAAACCGTTTCCAGCCTCTCGGGCCACTCCTAACCCCTCTCTGTGATTCCTTCTTTCTCTCTCTTCCCTTTTTGTGATACTATACAGATCAGGGACAGTTTAACCACGTCATCATCTACTTTGTTATCTGGATTCAGATCTTTCTGAAGTCAAATCATGTTTCCTAAATCCTAACTACAGCATATGCTAAATGCACAATACATACCTATAAGGCCCAGATATTGACCCTGCTCCTCAATACCAGCAATATAAAAGGTTCCACTAGATGAGAGTAGGGAGTCTGACTACAACTGCAGTAAGTTGCACTAATTAAGATATTGTACTATGTTATAGTCGTAGAGTTGAGGCCTCCTGAAGACAGCATGCACACTTACGTAAACAACCAGTCAGCATAGGCCAAGAATAAATAGAAAAATTCTGATAGCTTTACCGCAGCTATCTGTGTGTAGAACAATGAAGGAGATAGTTTGTGGTTTCCTGGCTAAACACATATTTTACCCGATTTCATCCATTAACCAGCATCAGAATCTCTCTTCCAGGTTATTAAATGCTGTTGAAATGTTTAAAAGCTCCTGAATATGATTAGTGATGATTAATATATTACACAACTATTAAAAACCTTGTGTTAGAGAACTTGAGATATTTCGTGTTGCCTCAAAATATAATAGAAATGATTTTAAGAACTTTTCTTTTCAGCTATCGTAATGACTGCAAATAAATAGTTGTTCATAGTTTTAAGTAAAAAAAAAAAGAAATTTATTTTAGTTTTGTTGTAAAACCATAAGCCTGAAGTCATATGAATACAATTAATAGGTTGTACATGATGCAGAAATTTCAGTACCTAATGTAAAAATTTCTAAATTGCTATTATCAAGTATTTTGATTCATGTGTTTAAAGTGTTTAGTTATGCATGCTTCTCATTAACCAAAAATGATTAATACCATTCAGTTTAGTGATTAATATGAAACTAATTACTAACCTTATGTTGCTACTGTATTTTTGTCTAGTTGCTATGCCTGTCCAGAAAACCAAATATATATATACATATATTTTTCTATAGGGAAGCTGAGTTTCAACTCCTGTGACATTTGGTTCCCGTAGTAAAATCGCCACATTAATGATTAACCCTAGAATGGTAGTTCCTGAGGTCGGCAGCGCTTTGTCTAAAATAATGGCCTTGCTAATGATTACTTCTATCACAGCTATAGTTCCTGAGAAGGCAGCCCTTTGTCTAAAGACCTGAAGACCTCAAAATATTTTGTTAAAATTGGATTGCTAAAAGTATTGATCCTTTAAAGCAGGAATTAAATAATTTTCTTACAAACAAGTTACTGCTATCGGTATTGAATAATTTATCTCTCTACTCTTGGTTAGTTGTCTTATGTGCATATCAAAAAGCATGAATGTATGATTATTCATAATTTGCACACTGTAACAGTAAGTTTTCAAAGGAAATAAAGAAAAGTGTTTTCAATGCCTTTCAGGCGTGATATCGTATTTTTTAATATGAAAGTTTTGTATATATGCCAAGAAATTAAAGATTGTCTTTGAAATGATTTGTTGCTTTCAGTTTATTATTTGAACACTTAATTGTTGAACTGTATACTTGGGTTTGTTTTTAGGCCTTTGTCAACTACGCCAGGTTTGTGTGAAAGGTACTCAAATGATACATGGGTATGGTTTATTTAACGAACTGTCCTAGATGCCAGTACCAGACCTCATTCTGTTTAAAACCAGTGCTATGAGATGTGGGCTGTGGTTTTACAGTACATTTATTGCCTGCAAACTGTTTTTACATTTCACTTGGTGTATAAGAATCTGAAATGTTTTCCATACTTACTTGGTGAATGAGAATCTGAAATGTTTTTTCTCAGTTGTGGAGAGTCCCCAGCAGTTTACTTGCACCAGACAAGAGGCTGATGATTTCCTTTTGATGCAGAAATCAGTCACTGAACTGATTTGTTCTTGAATCAAATAATTAAAGCAGAGTGACATCTTCTGTCAATTCCACATAGTTTCTGAAGCTTCTCAGACAGGACATATTCAAAAGATAACACGACTCTTTCAAAACTTGTAATTTATCTGTGAGATTATTAATAAATCAAATTGAAGAAAGATAAGGTTAATTGAATTTTCAAACAAGTAGCTGTATTATCCTTCAAGTACCTTGGAGCTCATATAGTATTCACACTTTAAAAAAAAAACACACACACAAAAAAAACAAGGCAGTGATGGCTTTTTTAAAAAAGGCCAGTAAAGTGGTTTAACACGTAGCATCCCAGGTCCCATTTTGACAGCTACTTCTCTTTCCATTAATACAGTTTAGCTGTAGGGCCGCAAGGAGATGCCATTCCCATGCAAGTTGCCAAGTCTGCTCTTTCTGGTGATGATGACTCTCAGGACCATTTGACAGGTAATCATTAGAACCTGAATCCTAGTAGACTGTGGGGTCTTTTAGCCTATCACTGCACAGGGATTTATGCTGGTAACTCATATTAATGTTAATAGGACTTGCATGTATAAATCCTCCTATCAATGAGACAGTTGACCCCTAAAAGAAATATTCTTTAGAGAGAGACACTTGCTGATCTAGAGGCATTAGTGAAGCGTTCTATTCAGAATTTTCACGTGTGGAAAAAAAAAAAGGAAGACTGTACCAATTCAGCAGAGGATTTGTTTGTGGAGCTTGAAAAGATGAAATACTTGCTCTTAATTTTCTATTTCCATTTCTAATTTATATTATATACTATTACTCCTATTCAGCTTATTAGAGTAGCATTTTCTTTTATTTTTAAAACTAGAAAATAGTTTTGTTCAGAATTTAATACAAATCCCCTTTTAATGTGTAGTACTACCCTAAACATTCTGGAAATATCGAACATTTTAAAACTAATAATGCCCACTCTCCTAACAAGCAAGGAAGTTCAGACCAAACCAGGAGACGTATTTTTGCTCATCAAGTTGGAAGACTCCAAAGGATCACTAATACTCAGAGTGGTGAGGGTCTAGGGCAGTGGTTCTCAACCTGTGGGTCGCGACCCCTTTGGGTGTCGAATGACCCTTTCACAGGGGTTGCCTAAGACCATCGGAAAACCCATATTTCCGATGGTCTTAGGAACTGAGACACGGCTCCTCTATTTGTCTCCAGGTGGGTCAGCCCATGTGCAGATACGCCCACATACAGCACGAGGAACTGTATTAAAGGGTCGCGGCATTAGGAAGGTTGACAACCACTGGTCTAGAGGAAAAGCACTCTCATTACGGATGCAGTATAAGTTGGTTATAGACTTTTTGAAGGGTGATTTGGCAGTACCCATTTAAATGTTAAATACAGATACCCTTTGATCAACTAGTTCTACCTCTAAAAATGTAGGTTATGCAAAGTTTTGTATATGTACAAAAATGAAATGATTGCTCACTATAGCATTGTTTATTTAATTCTGGAAACAACCTAAATGTTTATTAAAAGGAGACTGGCTTAAGTTGTTAATA